GGGAGCAATATAGAATGACCAGGGGAGAGCTCTTTGAGAAGGGAACTTTTGAGAAAAGATATGAAGTAAGTCATCCCCTTCTAACCACAGGGCCTTTGTGCATGCACTTCCCTCTGTACCTTGAAACTGGTTAATGCTTCCTCTTCCTTCTGACCTTAGCATGATAATTGCTTCATTAGGAAAGCCCAATTTTACTATTAATAGAGCTCACAGGACTGTAGGTAACATCTTTCATTGATGTCCATCTTCCCTATCAACTTAAACAGTCCATCATTTGGTTTTCTCCCCATCCCCCATCACAGTTCTTGGTGTTTGGGAGACTCTTGACACATGATACTTTTTAAATTTTCTTAGATTGTTGTTCATTTTTGTACAATAATTGGCATTTTCCCACAGCTGTAGTCCCATAGTTCTCCTGCCACCAGAACCATCACCACATCCCCCTTGTGCTCTTTCCTCCCTGTTTTGGCTCCCCTCCCTCCCCGTTCCTTGCTGGATGCCTTAGATGTATGGTCAGCTTGCAAGCTTTGTCTTTTTCTTGACCTTTTGTTCGGTTTCTCGATATTCCACATAAAAGTAAAACCATCCAATATTTATCTTTTTTCCTTCTGACTTATTTTCCCCTTAGCATAATCCCTTCCAGCTCCATCCATGTTGCCATGAATGGTATGAATTTGGAAACACGATCCTTAATGGTTAAATGGGTTAGGGTTAAGAATGAGGTCAGTGGCGCGCAGACCTCTCCTGCCGCCCGCTGCTCCCCTCAGCAGTGTCCTTCGGTCCTTCTGCCTGCTATGCTCTCCGCTCTGGCTCTGGTGGATTCTCTCACCCTCCCGCGCTTCTGACTGTACCCAGTGCATGTATAAACAAACAAACAAACAAATAAATAAATAGAAATTCATGCCTCTAAAAAAAAAAAAACCTTTGGAAAAAAAAAAAAAAAAGAATGAGGTCAGGGCTGGGAATGAAATCAACCATGGGATTGGAATTAGGATGAAAATCTAGAGAGGAGCGTTAGATTGGGGTAAAGGGGTGGAAGAAGGGAATGGGTTAATGAGATGGAGGCAGGGTTGGGGAGAAGCCTGGGGAGGAAGGTCTTTCCGGTGCTCTGGGTGACTGGCCGTGCTGTCTCATCTACAGGGTGCTGTCCCAGGCTGAGGGACAGGAGCTGTCAGGCCAGTCAGGCCCACCTTCCTGGGCTCTGATCAGTCACCCTGATGACTCTTGGGGAATGCTAGGAGCCTGATGGTGAAAATTTGCAATTTAAAATGCAAATTTGTTGCAAACTCTCTCAGCCTCTAGCCTTCCAGCCACTCCCACTTCCCTTGAGACTGTGCACCCAGGATGCTGGTCAGGATCTGTGAGGAGCAAGACTGAGCTTTGTGAGTCTAGTCTCTGGGGCTTGGGCGATCATACCTCCAGTCCCCTCTGGGATGAAGGACCCTGGAGCAGAGAGTGAGAGGCCCTGTGTTAACCTTCTGATGCAGTGGCAAGATGGCTCTCTGAAGGTGTGGGCAGGGGCGCTCAGGTAGCCTGGAGGTTAAGGTAGGAGAGGGAGGGTCTTGAGGAGTCAGAGCTGATGTATGGAGGAGATGAGCGCCACCACAATGGTGGGCATCCACCTCCATCCCCCAATAGCTAACTCGAAACTCATAACCACTGTCACTAGATCTCCTGCTCCATTTTCCCCAGACAATTTCTCTCTTCCAAAAAGGCAGGAGTGGCTGCTCTGGGTTTGATCAGACTCAAGCCTGGAGTAGGAATTAGGTTCCTGCAAGAAACAGAGACTGAGATGGGGGGGTGGGGGGTGACATGGACATGAACATGGCTGGGGCTGGCGTCAGGATGTAGACTGGGCACTCCCCAGTTACTACCAAAACGTGGATGCGTGACTCTGGGTAGGTGCTCAATTGGGCTGAAGAACTGGTTCTCCTGGACCATGGGCGGGCGGACCTGGGGAGCAGGAGAGGCTGCTGGAAAGATGTGAGCTTGCTGGGTTGACTCGAAATGGGCCACCCACACAGGAAGCCGAGTCCTCTCTGCTGGGGCACCCCCATGCCTAGCCCCACCCCAAGCCTGCAAGGTCTGGGGCCCCACCCCCTAGGACACAGAGAAAAAAATCAAATTGGGTCACTTCCTTGCATAAAACTCGCCAGAGTGCAAAATGCTGTCCCTAGAATCCCATCCAAGAACTTAATGTGGACTTCAGGGCTGGGCATGGCCCGGCTTCTGTCCACTTTTCGGTCACCTTGTTCCAGTCACGCTGGCCTTCTCTCTTCAAACACATGCCCTTCAGGCCATGCAGTGCTCTGTCCCTAGTCTGTAACATCTTTCCCCAAACTGTTTAAGTTTTTTTTTTTTAAGATTTATTTATTTATTTATACAAGAACCGGGGTACAGGCCAGATCCGCGGGAGGGTGAGGATTCACCAGAGACAGAGCGGGGAACAGAACACGCAGACTAACGAAATACACTGCTGAGGGGAGCAGCGGGCAAGACAGGAGAGGTCTGCCACGCCATGTGGGACCCTCGCCCGCCGCCTGGGATCGAACTGGCACTGCAGAGACTGCGGACAGCTTCACAGCACAGCGCTCAAGCGCCTGCGGCACCAGAGAAGGCCCTGTTTAAATGTTTTGTTCTTGTCAGCCAGGCCTCAACTCAACTGTCCCTACCTTGACGATAACCTGGGCTGTCATCCCCATCATGCTAACACAGTGCCTGGTTTCATCTCCCAGTTGGGCTTGTAACCACTGAAAGGGCTTATTTGTTTATGTTTATGTGTTTGTCATCTGTCTTGCTGTACATCAGGAGAAGTAGGGATGGTGCCAGGGAAGCTCACAGCTGTTTCCCCGATGGTCCAAACGGTGTCTAGGGAAACAAGCCATGAAGCAAGCGATCCTAGAATGTCAATGCTGGAAGGGACTTTCCAGGTCTCCTCGTCCCTCCCATTTATCTGACAGATTTGGGCCGCCAAGTCTGAGGGATTTACTCAAGACCTACTGGACAAAAAGGACTGGCATGCTTCCCGCAATCCCAGTCACCTTCCAGACTGACTGAAAAGCTCAGCGACCCCAAGTGCAAACCGAAAGAAGCCCCCTGTCTGATGTGAGCTCCTCTTCCACGTCCTGTCCCCAGAGATGCCCAGTGCCCAAGGCAGAATTCTACATCTGGGTGCCTCTCTAATAAATTTCCCTCCAAGCTGGCTTTCTGGGAAACCAGATTCCAGTGAGACTCCCTGACCCCTCCCTCTCCGGCTCAGGGGCATTTTTTAGGATGGGCATGGCTCCTGATGTTAACTTTGGCTCAAGCCAAGGATTGTTCATTTTCTTGGAGAGACAGGTTGCCTGTGTGCCTGACATCACTGGGTCCTGGTCCTGCCCTTTTAAGCCAAGGCCCATGTTTAAGAGGCACGTTTGTCCTCTGCCACAGCCTTACTGACTGCAAGGGAATGTCTCTAGCTGTTTCTTACACCTTTGATTTTGTGCTAAGGTCAACAAAATCTGGTGATTTGGACTAAATACTTAGGTTGGAATCTGCAGTGAGATATACCCCAAACACACTCTTGGTGTCCAGGATGGCATGAGGGTCCTCTTCTTCCAGGATCACAGCAGGAAGTGCAGACCCAAGGTTTAGCAGAGCCAAAGACTGCCCTACTACCCAGTTCCCTCTTCACACTGCAGGGAAGTGGTGGAGGTGGGGAGGGGGGCATTGGTTGGGATAGAATAAGGGAGGGTTGGTTGAAAAGGGAGACTTGAGCTGGAGGGGGCTGGGGAAAAGGATAGGCAGTATTTCTCTCTGAATCTACAGGAAAGTGGGTGAACCAAAATTTCAATATAGCAGGGCCTCTGGGATGACTTAGGAAGAAATGAAACCAATGGAATCATTTCGCACTACTATGCTTGTACAGTAAGCTGTTTTTGTTTTCTGAGATCTTAGCCACCAAGGCAGCTGGCGGATCCCCACTGGCTGAAGGAAGGAACATTGACTTTGGTCTAACATGGGGTTGTGAGACTCTGCAAACTAGCCAAGCCCTTGTCCACCTGAGGCTCTTGATTGATAACCAGTTATTATGACACTAAAACCATAGGATTCTCTTTTACCAGCCCTACAGGGGTGGAGCAACAGTTACTTGTTGTCACTGTCCAAAGACACTGTGACTCTGGTCAGAAAGAGGCCATGGTCAGGATTTGGTCAGAGAAGGAGATATAGAGGACTAGATCTGAGGTCTAGGGAAAAGGAAACCTGGAAGGTGTTGGCGACTGTGGAGAGAGAAGATATGGCTGCCTGAGTGCAGGGTTGGAAGGGAAGACATCAGACTCCCCAGATTGTGCTGCAGCAATGACCCCAGCATCTCAACGGCTTAGCCCAGGGAAGTTTATTTCTCATTCAGTCCATGTTCAACTCAGGTCAGCAGGGGGCTCTGCTCTGGCCCCTCAGAGACAGAAGCCCATGGAAGGACCATCTCTACCTGTGCTTCTAGAACAGCAGAGGCAGAGAGAAGAGAATGCTAGAAGGGTCTGTGCTAGCAATTAAATGCTGCAGCCTGGAGATGACTTGCATCACTTCTGCTCAAAGCGTGGTGGCCAAAGCTCATCTATGACTCCACCCAAAGCTCATCCATGACTCCAGCATAGGAAGGTCTGAGGTCTAGTCTTCCATGTGTATAGAAGAGGAACAGGATCTCAGTGGCAACACTAACAACACCCACACCCAGAAACTAGATCCTGTGGCTTTGCAAAATGCCTATTTTTTCTCCCCTTTTGAGTCTTGGTATTCCTACCTCCTCATAGATGACACACACAGGGAGGTGAAGGCAGGAATGTAGGGACTGGCTAGGCAGTGGGTTGAGCTGGGAGGCTTCCTGTCTCCAGAAAAACTGATCCAGAGACTCACTCTGCTCTTTCCTTCTCCCCTGGGAACCCCACTCTCCCAATCACCTACCTAGCCCCCCTCCACACACACACCAAAACAAATGAAATGGGAGCCAAATATGTCTATAATATTTATTGAACTCACTGGGCTCAAGGACAAAAAGTAAAAGGGTAGGAGAGACGATCCTGGGATATGACAAAAGCTGGGGAGAGACACCCCATACATATTCAGTCCAGGATGCCTGTCCCTGAGAACAATAGCTAGAGGTCCAGATAAACTGGGTTCTAGTTCCAACCCACCCTTTAAACTGCTGGGATCAAAGGGGACCACATAGCCAATCTAGGGCACACATCCTTTCTTACCCTGTTACCAGGTTCTTCCAGAGAAGGAAGCTAGTTTGGTTGGTCCTAGGCTTAGAAGAAAGTGGAAAAAAAGGCAAGGTAGGAGAACGTTTTGCGGGATGGGGAGAATTGGGAAGGAGTCCCAAGCTGGGGGTCCCCTTGGGAGGAGGTAGATTTTCACAGGAGATGAGATTGGGAGGCTGGCCAGAGTGGGCAGGGGGAGTTGAGGCTCCTTCCTTTTGGAGGGGCCTGTTGTACATTTGTCTGTAGTCAGCAGCTTCTCATCCTGGACATACTGGTCCCTCACAGCTCAGGGCTCTTTGGTGGAAAAGGTTCTCTTGTTCAGAGAAGGTTCACGCTGACTGAGAACACAGAGGATGGAAGGGCCTGGCAGACCCTGAGAAGCTGGCCCTCCTCATGTTTGGGCCTTTTTTTCCGGGGTGTGCAGAGGAGGGGGCTAGATGGAGACACTGTTCTCGATGAGGGGCGGGTCCAGGTAGGCATAGGGCAGCGCCAGGCTCTGATTCCGCTCCTGGATTTCCTTTGAGATCTGGGCCAGGCGGCTCTGAAAGGCAGCAATGCTCTGCTGTGGGGCCTCTTCGGTGAAGTGCTGGTCTGGGTAGGTGCCTAGGGGCCGCTGGGAGAAAATGGGTACAGGGTCAGGATGATGCTCAGGATGGGATGGAGAATAGTGAAGGACCACACTTGCCAACAGATACAGTCAAGGTGGCTTCTGATGGCATGAGTCAGCTATAGTTACTGTAAACACAAACCGCAATCCAAACCACCAGTGCGGGCAAGCTGACACAGAGCAGCCTGCGCAGTGGGGGCCAGAAAGGCACCTCAGCTTAGTGCTCCCTCTGCTGGTAGCCTTCTGTGTGCGACTGTGACTATGTGAGACTCAGTTTCTGTATCAGCTAAGTAGAGATGGTAGGATTAAAAAGTCCCTTCCATTGCCTGCGCCACTGTGCTTTGACCTGAAAGAACACAACCCCATGCATAACACAACTGATGTCAAGCAAACACACGCCAGAGTCTGTTCAAGACTGCATCTATTGCCTCACCTTTTCACAAAATTCAGTCCCTGAAGAAACCAGTTCTGAAGCATCATCCCAAATAATCAACACAATGAAACTTCTGCCAACACAATGAAACATCACCACACACTGCCACATACACATCACAGACAACCGCAATCAAGAAGAATCACAGTGAACTTCTGTCAAAGCCACCCATGACCACACCAGCCTCCTCACCTTCAGTTTTTGGGGTCATGGGGTCACCAGTAATTAAACCATCATACACCATAACTGTCCCCTGACTAAAGAGGAGACCTCTAATGTTCCACCCCAAGTATTTTCTTTTGTTCTATGGACTATACTTTTTAGCAAAACTCCATGAAGGAGTTTCATTTTTACTGAGTTTTTATTAGTAATGACTGTTCACTCATCAAATGTTCTATCAGCACATACTGAGATGATTATATGGTGTTTCTTTATTGATGTAATAAATTTTATTGTTAGATTTCATAAGGTTGAATCAACCTTCCATTCCTTTCATTCTTAGAATAAACTAGACTTGTCATGATATATTATCATTTTATTATTTACTATTGGTCTTTATTGGCTGCTGATAGATTTTTAAGAGTTGGTATTTTAATTTTATTTTCCTGATACAGTGAATATGTTGAAAGCATTTTACATGGACTAGCCCGATGGAACAACAATCCTGTGAGACAAGTACTCTGATGATTCTCATTTACAGAGGAAGAAACTGAGGCAAAGAGATGCCCCTTTATGTTTCTAAGGCCACAGAGGTGTCCGTGTGGATCTGGGACTGGAACCCTGCACCTGAGACCCATCTCCCTCCTCTAGAGCACTTTCTTTCTCAGTAAAATGTAACTCAGTAAAATAACTTGGGAGGCATCTAGTTTCTTCTCTGCTTTCAAGAAGTTTGAATGATATAGGAATAATTTGTTCCTTAAAGGTTTAGTAGAACTTCTCTTTCCTGGGAAAGTTGCCAGATCTTTTACAACTTTTTCCATTTACATATGATGTTCATCTCTTCTGACGTTAACTTTTGGTCATGTTTTCCTAGTAATCCATTGCTTCATCTAGATTTCCAAAAAATGGTAAGTAGTATTTTCTTCTTCTTCTTCTTCTTCTTTTTTTTTTTTTTTTTTTTTGCATAGAAGAACTGGGGTGTAGGCCAGAGGTGGGAAGGGTGAGAGAATTCTCCAGAGACAGAGTGGGGAGCAGAATAGGCAGACTGACTAAAATACACTGCTAAGGGGAGCAGCAGACGAGCCAGGAGAGGTCTGCTGTGCTGTATGTGGGTTAGCTCCCTGGCTGGGATCAAACTCAGGCAGTAGTGGTGATAGCACTGAGACTTAACCCCTAGGCCACCAAGGAGGCCCTTCTAATTTTTTCAATCTTTACATTTGTGGCAATAAGCCTTGTCTGTTTCCTAATATAGTGCATTTATGTTCTCTCTTTTATCTTAATTAGAATTATCTATGGCTTCCTAAATTTATTGCTCTTCTCAAAGCACCTCTTTTATGTCTGAAACTATAGTGTAGCCATCAAAGGAGAACACAGAAATATGACAGCCTGGATTCAAATTCTACTTACTGTGTAAACCTGAACAAATTGCTCAGTCTCTGAACCTCAGTTTTCTCCTCCACAAAAATGGAATTACTGCCAGGCATTGTATTAAGCATTTTCAAAATACATACTCATCTATTTTGTATTTTATAATAGTGTACAAAACATAACTTATTTAATGAATAAGACATGGTAGATTCTCAATAAGTGACAACTGCTGTTATTAGAATTTTCCAGGTTAAACTTCCCACTGGCTTATGCGGAAAGAACCCTCTACCCTAATCCTCTTGCCTCTCATCTCCTGCCATGACTTTCATATTGTGATTTATAATGAGACATACACACTTGAGTATGTAACATGTAACATTGAATATGGAAGAAATATATTTACTATTATAAATATAAATATAATTTAATATAAATTATAAATTTAGATAAAATATAAATAGCTACTTGATGCAGTCCCCGGCACAGAGCTTGGAAATTTGTAAGTGATAAGAGTGTTAAAGGTATCTTTTGTTTTTTATAACAAATCACTTTCAACCACACCTGAATTTGTTAACGAGGTGACTTCTAGAAAGCCCAGAAGGAGGCAAGGATGTGGGGCTGGTTGCCAGGGAAAATAACCCTGTGATTAAAAGATTAGAACAGTTTGGCCTCCCCCAACCCATCCCAGATGTCTGTGGAGGGGAGGGCTTGGAGATTGAATTAATTCCCAATGATTGCTGACTTAATCATTCTTGCCTATGTAACGAAGCTTCCAGAAGAAATCTAAAAATCACTTCTCGGCCTTTTGGCTAAGATCATGTGCAGAAGAAACCCAAAAACACAGGTTTGGGGAGCTTCCAGATTGGTGAACACGTGGAGGCCCTGGGAAGGTGAAGTGACCAGAGGCAGTGCCTCCTCGGCACTCCTCCCCTTGCCCTCTGCATCTCTTCCATCTGGCTTTTCCTGATTTGCATAATTTATAATATATCAGTAATCCAGTTGGTAAACTCTTTTCCTGAGTCCTATGAACCATTCTAGCAAATGATGGGAACTGAGGAGGAGGTCCTAGAAAACAATGATTTATAGCTGATTGATTGGTCAGAAGCACAGATACAACCTGGGCTTATGATTATCATCTGAAGGGGGTGAGGGGACCAGTCTTATGGCCCTTTACCTGTGGGATCTGATGCTATCCCCAGGTAGATAGGTCAGAATTGAGTTAAATTGTAGGACACCAATCTGGTGTCTGAGAACTGCTTTGTGTGATAGAAAAAGCCCACACATGTGGTATCCAGAAGTATGACGTGATTGTATGGAGAGCAATATAGAGCAAAGTTGTATGTGAGTAGGCAAAAAGCAGAGAGAGGCTTCCTTTATAGGGACAGAAATTAATGTCTCCAAATCTTTAGGAGATTTGGAGGCCAGGAAAGAGGAGGCACCAAGAATGAGTTCCAGGCAATTCCAGGGTATGAAATGGTATGTCAAGACTTGTTGGGAAAATCAAATATCTGTAATCTTTCTCTCACATGAAAGGGAGTCAAGAGTGAGAAAAGGGGACATTCATGTAACATCAGAGAACTTGGGAACAGATCTGGAGGGCAGAGGCATGACGGATATAACCCAATATATGAATGATAATGATGGTAATTGGCAATTAAAGGGCTGCTCTCCTGACCCAGCCTAGAAACAGCCTCGTTGCTATCTTTCCTGCCTCAAAATTGTCCCTCTCATCCATCTGCACTGTCATGGAGCATCCTTGCTAAAACACAAATTTAGTCATGTTACCCCAGGCAGGAAACTCAATGGCTCCCCCATTGTCCTCTGAATGAATACTGTGCCAGCACTGAATCAACTGTGGTCGTACAGATACACCAGTGGACTCTTGCCTTCAGTTCATTTCATTTGGACATGTCCCTCCCTCTGCCTTGAAAGGAACTCTGTCCCTCTTTTGTCTGCCTAACTCCTACTTGTACCACAGATTTCAGCTTTCAGATGTCACTCTCTCCAAGAAAACTTCCAGGGTTTGCCAGACTAGTTCCAGTTCTACATGGGTCTCATTCTTACCTCTGTCACTTGACTATAAGCTCACAAGAACAGGATTCATATTTGTCCACCAGGCAGGTGCTTAAGTACATATTGAATAGAAGAATTAATACATAAATAATTCCTATAAAAGGCGGTGCCCTTTTTTGTTCCTTGTGTGTCTCCTCAACTAGGCCATGGGATGCTTGAAAGTAAGAAAGCCTCACTCAATTTTATATGCTTGGTGCCCAACACAGTACTGATCAATGGGAGGTAAGCAGCAAATGTGAGTTGAATGTTGGATGAATGGATGAGTAGCTGATGAATGGCTGACAGATGAATAAATGGTTGACTGGCTGGATGGGCGGATAGGGGGATGGATTTATAAACTGGTGAACTGGATAGAAATTGTGCCCCAGCCACTAAACTGGTATTTGCTTTAGCGTACACCTTTTGGAACAACTATCGAGCTGAAGAACCCTAGGCAGATTGGCAATGGGCATAAATGCCAATAGTCTCCTCAAGCCCCCCTTGTCCCAAAAATAGCCTAACACCTCCACTGCCTAGACCCCAGAAATACTGACTCCCACCCCACCCTACCACATATACACACCTGGTCCTTGGGCTCTTGACTGACCAACCAGAAGAGGAGAAGGTTGTTACAGGTGATGTTCACTTCCGGGAGTGTGTCTAGGTAACTCTTCAGGGTGGTGGTGCCCTTGGTTTGGGGAGGGGGCTGCCTCATGGATGATGGGGCATTGGGCATCCAGGCACCAAAGTCATGCTGTGGAGACATCCCCCCGTCCAAGTAGTCAGCTGGCCAGAGTGGGAGGACCTTGTGGTCATCTCTGACCCTGCTCCTCCATCCCAGTCCTAGCAGTTGGAAGAGGAAGAGGCAGAGGAGTATAGGGTAGAAAGTTCCAGAAGAGGTGCAGAAGCCTGGCTCACCCCTTGGCACTCCTGCCCAATGTTCCAGGAATGAATGAGTCACTAAAGAAGGAGGAGATCCCAGAGAGGAGGTCACCCTAGGAAAGGGGTTTGGGCTGGCATGCCACACACTGATGTTCTACCTAGCCAGGTCCTAAGCACTGATTCCGTAAGTTCTACTCCCTGCACAGCACCAACTAGAGTCACCACTACAACCTAGGATGCAGCTCCACCCCAATCACCATCCGGTGCCTGTCATTCACTCCACCCAGTCACCACTCCAACTCCAGCCCTAATCATAAACCCAGCCCAGCCCGGACCCACCCATGCTCTCAACCCAAATGCTGGCCTCATGTCCATTGCTGAAACTAACTCTGCATGGCCCAGTGACACCCCCCCACCCAAGCCTGCCTTCTGCAGCCTCACCTGCCCACTGTTGACAGCAGCATGCTGGGCGGAACAGTTGAAGATGATTGCAGTGAGGAACTTCACCAGCTCTCCTGGAGTGTCCAGGCTGCGTGGGAAGCCTGGGTGTGAGAGGAAGGGAAGAAGGTGTGTGGATGAAGAAGGCTGGATTCCTAGGGGCAGCTCAGGGCTGGGGCTCACCACAGGGGGAGAGTGAGGAAGTGACAGCTGAACATTTGGCCACCACTGTCTTTAATCTAAGGTTAGGGTTGGACTGAGGTTAGGGATGGTCATCGCCACAGTTTGTGGTCTCTAGAGGGAGTCAGGATAGGCGCTGGGAACTGGCATCAGACCAGAAAATGTTGAGCCTGCAGAGCTCACAAAGGGGGAGCCAGGAGGAAACAAAAGACAAGCTGCCTCTCCCTAACTGCAGCCCTTATTAGCACTTCATGATTTAATAATACCCAGTTTATCAAGATTTGTCTGAGCACCCATTTGCAGGTCATGTTACTCATAAGCTCACAGGGGTGGGAGCGGAAGGAAGCTCTAAGGCCAGGGCTTAGCTCTTTGAGGAGATGGCAGGCAAGGTGGAAACAGACAGTGTGGCTAGCATGGCTAGGGAGACTTTCCTGAAGAAAGAGAAGGAGAAACTTCCTGAGTTGAAGTGTGTGTGAGTGAGTGGGAAAAAGTTGACAAAGGAAGGCATTGTCAGGTGCTGACCTACATCCTCTTCTTTCTTAACCTCACTGGTTTCATCCAAGTCTGTGGTTTTAACCACCGCCCCCTGACTAATGATACCCCAGTTCACATATCCAATTTCCCCTGAACTCTTAGGCTCATCAGTGGGCCTAAATCTGCAGCGGCTACCTGAGAGTCTAGAAGACATCCCCAAATACAGTATTTCTAAAACCTCATGCTTGACTCCCCAAACCTGTCCCTCCCACAGTGATCCTATTTCAGTATCCCTGAGGTGGTCACTCAGGCCAGAATCCATGCACTCATTCTCTTTACTCATCCTGCATATATCAGTAAATATTTGCAAAAGCCAATCTCATCTCCCCAACCCTAGTGTCCATTATCTCACTCCTGGAGAATCCTCCTGCTTCCTTCCTTGGCCCTGTCAGTCTGTTCACATGCTAGGCTGAGTGGTCCTTTAGAATCAAAAATCCAATTATGTCATCACTTGCTAAAACCCTCTAAGGACTTCACTTGCCTCCCTGTGGCCCTACTTGATCTGGCTCTTGCTCCTTCTCTGACTTCATTTCCTTACCTGCTTACTTGCTCTCACTCCCTCCAGCCACAAAGGCCTTCCTGAGAGTCCTCAAACCACCACCATGCTCTCTCAGGGCCTTTACACTAATTACACCCTCTACCTGTACATTCTTACTTCAGTTATCCACAGCACTGAGCTCTTTCACTTCCTCCACATCTCTACTCAAACATCACTTCCTCCTAAAGGCTCTCCCTGATCACTGATCTGAAATAATCCTCCTACCTCACTCAACATATCCCTTGATGCTGTTTCATTCTTAGCATTCATAGCCACTTGCCATTTTTAAAATTTGTATTTATTATACAGATATTACCTATATCTCCCTGTAAGAATGTTGAGTTGCAAGAAGGCCAGGATTATTGTTGTCAAATTGCTGCTGAACCCCAGCACCTAGAATGATACTTACTAAATATGAAGAGCCCACTAATGATTCACTTGAATGAAGTAACTGCACAGGAGGGTAAGAAACCAGGAAGGGAAGGAACAGAGCACAGGTGAGGGATCAGGGAGGGCACTTAGTGCCGGTGAGGCTGCCGTGGTGTGCCAGTCCAGGTGGTTTCTGGGCACTATTTAGACGATTATCAGGGTGGTGGCCCCGCTGGCTGAGGTGGGAAGAAGTGGGATAGGTTTGAGAAACAGCTGCCGCAATGCAGGAGTAGTGTGAGGACTGGAACTAGGGTGGTGACAATGGGAAATGATGGGGACAATAGGGATTAGCCACCCAGCTGCATTTAGGGAAAGAAGAACATGAGTCAAAGATGGCTCTGAGGAGTGGAGTCAGGGTGGCTGGAGAGAAGCTGATGCAACAGAAGACAGAGGTCTTGGGGAGAGGACTGGCTACTGGCCTGGTGGGGATGTGGGAATTTTCTGATTATTCCATTTGCAGTTGATATTCTAATCTGGAGGACTAAGAATAAAAAAGCAAAGAAGTCAGACCATCTATGGGAATTTTTCTGGGGCTCATATTGTTTGATATTCCCTTGAAATATGGAAGCAAAGCCATATTGACTGAGATTAATGAGTGCGCTTGCCCTCATTAATTAATTAATGAATTTTAATGAATTTTTCAGTTTATTTTATGTCCCTACAGTGCATATTTTATTTATTTATTTAATATTTTATTTTATATAATTCTTACATCATTTTTCATTTTTTGCACAATGTATGCATTTTCATTTTGGTTATATTTCCCATACAATTGCACCCCCCCTTATTTTGACCCTAACCCTTCCTTTCCCCGCCCCCTTAATGAATTATTTTTTAATAATTTAGAAGAATAACTGCTCTGGCAGAGGTCAGAGCCAGAGTCACTCATGATTAGCTCAGGGAGTGGTCACCCTTTAAATGATCCAAAAGAGAGCTGACTGTCACCACCTTAACCCAGACATCACTGTTGGCATCCCTAATAGTGAGAGGAGCTGGCATTAGGTGCCTCCAATATGATGCAACAGGGAGGACCTAGCATCACCTGAGAAACATTCTTGCCCCAAACATTCAACCTTCAGATATTACTTCTGGCTGACAAAAAAAATCACAAAGGATAGAGAAGCCAGATGAATAATGTCATGAGGAAGTAATTAGGTAAATTGGGAAGGTGAGACATTCTGCAGAACTAGTCCTGGCTTTTCAATAGTCCTGTTCAGCTGTCATGTAATTTGAGGGGGGCGGAGCATCTTAAACGTAAAGAAACTTTAGAGTCAAACAAGTGTATCCTATGATCCTTAGCTGGCTCCAGAATCAAAAGGATCAAAAAATCAGAAAATGGGCCAAGTGAGGAAATTTGAATATGAAATATATAGATAAAAGGGTGATGCTGGAAATTATTGTCAATTTTGTTGAGTGTGATGACAGTCCCGTAGGTATGTACAAAAGCATCATTTTTGAGAGACATGGTCATTAAGAGTAAAATATAAAATGTATGTAATTTACTTAAAAGAATGCAATAATAAATAAAAGCCACAGACTAATCAAATATGGTAAGGTATTAGCAACTGTTGAAACTGGTGTGAGTAGATGGGTGTTCATTGTATCTCTACTTTCCGTGGTTTTTTTTTTTGTTCTGGTTTTTGTTTATTAAACAAAGCCTCTGGGCCCATTATGAATAGGACTATAACAGATTTTCATTCTGTTCACAGGTAACCTGAGACCATCCTTCCCTCCTGGGTGTCACCACACAGGAGTGTAACAGGGTGGTCCCCAGGAAAAAGGGAGGTTCCAAGTTCCCTGCCCCACCCAAGGGAGGGTAGAGGTGAGCAGAGAGAAGAAGCTAAGAGAGGAGGCTAGGGAAGGGGAAGCAGGATGGAGAGCTAGAAGGAGAACTGGCGGAGGCACATGGAGCAGAGAGACGTGAAGAAGCTGCACTTGCTTCTTGGTCCTGCATGGGTTGAAGCAGATGTGGGTGAGAGACCCATGGGGGAGGTTAACAATAGCAGTATAGATCTTGATTTTGATTTTGCTCTTTTCCTTCCAGACTCGTGTGGCTGTTTCTGACCCTTTTCTATGGGTCTCCACCAGGAGGTGACTTAGACTTGTGGCAGGCTCTCAGGCCTCAGAGGCCCTGCTTTGGGCCAACTCTGTTTGGCTGGGTATTTAACCACAAGAGGAGAAGAAACTTTGGCTGCTGGATTTGGAAACTCTATGCTTCCCCTTTTCTGTATTGCACACTAATTGTATTAAAGTTCCTTTCCATTGACGGTCTTAAGCACTAGGGTATGTTTTGTCTTGTTGCAGTGGATGGCAGAAACTGTTTAGAGCAGGCAGGTTTGGGGGCTTTGGGGTGCCCCTCTCCCTGTCCTGTAAGAGGAGCTCCTCAGGAGGCTACCAGGCATGACACCATCAGGCCAGGACTGGGGGAATTGGAGGGTGAACATTTCTGCCTCTTTGAACTTTTCCTTTTCCTCCACTACACCCAGATAGAGAGGCCTCTTCTGCATTTCTCAGTGCCTGAAGAGCAGACGGCATAGTACATTGGCACTAGGGACATGCCTCTGAAGAATGCAATAGGCTGTATAACCTGAGCAAGGACAGGGGTCATTTGATGGAGGGATGGCTTGTAGTTTTCATTTGCTGATCTTGAGGGATACAATGAGAGAGCTGAAAGGGAAAATCCTTCAGGGAATGTGGGATTGGAGGATTTTCAAGTCTGAAATCAATTACTGAGGAGAAAGGCTCATTCCATTGGGGTGGGGTAGAGAAGAGACAGAGACCCATAAAAAGCCAACAACAGGGATGGGGAGATGGCAGAGGCCTGAGAAGAAGTGGGAGGTTCAACAGCATATATCCTGGGAAGATTTTAAGGAAGGGCTGGTTTTCTGGGGCAGTCAGTTGGCGCTGAGGTTAAGCAAATGAGGCTTAAGAGGGGCCACTGCTGTTGGCAGGTCTCAAACACCTCTGTGGCAGTGTCAGAAGAGAGGGGACAGTTTGGGCTAGATGACAGATATATATGAGGAGGAATTAAACATAGCAGGATTAACCCACTCACTGACTCCAAAAGAAGTGAGGGAAGTTGGTGGCTGGAAGGGTGACCTGGCAGGTAAGGTGAGAGGGGATGAGACAGGGTTCTAGAATCCTGTGTGTTTTGAGGCCCGAGATGTGACCCACCTACAGAGCTCAACAAGCAGAGGTGAATGAATGGGCTTATGAATGAATGGGTTGAGGAAGTGATAGAAACAAGGGCTTTGGAGCCAGCGGGAACTGACTCTGGATCCAGCCTCTGCCACTTACTATCTGTGCAGACTTCTTTGTGATTCTTCCTCATCCATTTGTAGGGGCCTAATAATAGGATATATTTCAAAGTCTGACCCAGGGGGAGCATTTGGTCATTGAGTGACTGTGCTTGGGAGGTAGAGAGGGGATACCTGAGCTTTCCCGGCCCAGGAACGCCTGAGCAAAAATCTCGCCGACCCAGGCTTGCAGCTCTGAATCCTGCTGCACAGATGTGTCACTGGGATAATAGTAGCCCACGATCTCTGTGACAAAGCTGCAGGAAAGAGATGTCAGTGCTATAGTGGTAACCTTGGGCTCAGGCCTGGCCAGAAAATTGGGGCTCAATCCCACTCAGACTGGGAAAGAAAGCTAGAGTCCACTGAGTTCCTGGGGGTTCAATGGGGACTCCCAGTCCAGTTGGAACTTAAGTGCCCAGGTTTCCCTCAAGTCTCACTTCTGAGTCATAGGTGCTCGAGGCTCTTTCTGCATTAAGAAGACCCTAACTCATGCTGTCCCCTTCCCGCTCAGCACAAAGAGAAAGGAAGGGCAGCCTGCCTGGAGGTCCAGTGCACACCCAGCTCTTAAGCCTGCCCTGACTCCTCTGGACACCCCCTCCTTCCCTTCCTCAGCTGTATTCTCACACAGCCCAGCTCCACCCCAGGCCCCACAGCTACCTCTCATTTCATAGGGGAACCTCTAAGCTCAACTCTCACCCTTGCAATGTCTTACGCGGGCCTAAGAACACCCAACCCTCCCCCAGCACCCTAGCCCGCATGAGCACAGGAGCACATTTGCGCCTGAGCCAGGAGGCCTGGTGGGGCCAGAGTGTCTGCAGGGTCCCAAGAGCGAACCTCTCAATGGCCCCCCAGATCTTCAGGCCGTCGTCTCGGTAATGGTAGTTGGGGATGAGGAGAACGCCGCGGGCCCGCAGGCTGTCCGGAAGGCAGAAATCGGTATAGGTGAAGTGGGCCAGACCCGTGCTCATGAGGGAGAGAAGGCCTTGTCTTCCGATGGATGTGACCTGAAGACACAGCACACAGCTTGGCTCCGGGCCATCTCAACCCCCACCCAGGTGCTGGGGACCAGCTGGGGTTAGTGACTCAGCAGAAGGTTTTTTTTTTCAGTTAATCAACAAGTCCAAAACTACCGATCCAATGTCCATAGGAGCCAGATGCAGCGTGCAGTTCGCGGCCATACTATGAGCGGAGGAGATAACTTAAGAATTTGCTAACTCGCTAGGAAGCCTGAGCCTTAACTAAATGCCAGGAGACCGGGAGACCAGAGCCTGAGCAGGGTCAGCGCAGGACTGCGCTCGCTCGGCTTTGGTGTTCTCCGCCCACCAGGGTCAGAACAGTGTGGACAGCTGGGATTTGGCAGCTGCCAGAGGACAGGATTTATGGGCGGGGCAAGTAGGAGTCTGGTGCAGAGGGGCGGGACTTGTGGGAAGGGGCTGCTGGGACATTGGGGTGGAATTGGAGAGCAAACAGGGTTATGGACACGGCAAAGTGTGCTCAGGGGTGGGCCCCCAGGAGGGGGTGGAGCCTCGGGGGCGAGGGTGGGGGCTGAGAAGGCCTCACCTTGTCCACCAGGCCCTCAGGGTTGAGCAGCGTGGCACGTGCTATGGTGTTCACCTGCAGCGTGTAGCGAGTGTGGGGAAGCAGGAGCTGCGAGCGGCATTAGATCACAGGAGCCAAAGGTCAGAGAGATCACCTAGGTCAAGTTCCCTCTGCTCCCTCTTCCCCCTGCCCCACACTGTCACACAGACCTTGTAGATAGGATGGCAGAGAGGCAGCTGACGAAGCGTGGCCATGGCAAAGGCCTCACATAGCAAATGCGTGCACAAAAAGTGTGTGTTGTTCTCATGCACCAGGAACTCAGAGTTGCGAACCCACGTCTTGGCCAGCAGCCAGTCCCAGTCAGAGTCAGTGGGCAGAAAGATGGGGCTATCGGGCCCAGGGGCCTGGCTGAGCTGAGTCCAAGAATAAGGAAGGGGTGAAGCTCAAGACTACTAGAGTGCCCCCTGAGGCTGCCCCCCCAAACCCTGCCCCAGACTCACCTGGATGGCCAAGGGTAACAACGCTCCCTGGGGGTTGAGCCACAGCAGGCAGAGCGGGGCGGCCTTGTACTGCTGGCGGCCATTTAGACAATGGACAGGAACCTCCTCCAGAATCCAGTAGTCCGCTAGGAAGATGTTCCCCCTCTGAAGAAGGTGCACAGAGGCTCAGAGTGACCTCCACACCCGCACTCCACATCACTCTCCACTCTCTGCCAACTCCCACCCCAGCTAGGGCCTCAATAATGCTAGGTGCCTGCACTAATGGCCAACGCTGGGTACCCCACCCTTCCCAGAATGTCCGGAATGAGGTCCAACTGAGTCCTCCATTGTGCAACTTCTCACCTGGCTTCCCAGCTTGGACAAGACAACCTCTTCTCCCCCTCCCCCATACATGATCCTTCCTACTCTTTCAACTTAAGTGACATCAAAAACCAAATCAACATGCAGTGAAAATTTACCCATCACATCTCCAGCCTTCTGGAGGTAAGCTGAGGGCTTAGCCGCCCGGAAGAGACAGGGGCAAATCATCCTCTCTATACCCTGGAAGCTCCTAGTTCTCCATGATTGTTCCTGCTGTCTCTAGTCATGCTGTCTCTGCCTATCCTACAATAGCCTTCTCTGGCCTCTGCACCTGGAATCCTGGAAACCTTGGAACAGGGCCTCCTTCTTCAAGCTGTACTGCAGCCACTGCTCATTCCTACCACTTTACCAGGCTCCATCCCAGGCTTCAAGCCATTCTGAGCCTGATCTTGCTCTCGGCCATATCTGCTCTACTTAAAAGGTATAGAACCAGGGCCTCCCCTGGTGGCGCAGCAGTTGAGCTCTGGGCTGCGAAGCTGCCTGCAGCCTCTGCAGCACTGGTTCAATCACCAGCCCCTGATGAGGGTCCCACATGGCAGGCAGACCTCTCCTGCCGCCCGCTGCTCCCCTCAGCAGTGTATTTCGTCAGTCTGCCTGACCTGTTCCCCGCTCTGGCTCTGGTGAATTCTCTCACCCTCCCACGCTTCTGACTGTACCCAGTGCTTGTATAAATAAATAAATAAATAAATCTGCCCAGAGGATGAGGCTAGAGATTGAAGCAGCCCCTGATGTCCATGCTTACATTCCACATCCATCCCATCTCTAATGACAACTCCTAAGGGCCTCACCTACCTCTAACTCTGTCTGGAGGCAGGTGCCCTCTCCTAGCAAGGGGGCCACCATGTCATTGGTGACAGGTAGCTTGCTGGGCAAGCTTGAGAGGCAACGGATCATGACAGGATTGACGCCATTCAGGTACTGGTACCCAAAGAAGTTGTCCTCACACCAGTGCTCTGTGACATACTCTAGGGAGCAAGAGAGGGGGTCAGTTGTTCTGAAAAGTACTTCCCTAGATCGTGCTCCTAACCAGCCCTTTGCTTATCACTATGGTTCAGATTTTCCTCCTATTAACCCTCTGAAGTAGGTATAATTATGTCTTCAGTTTAACACTGGATGCTGAGAGTCAAAAAGATAGGGTGACTTGCTCAGTTGAGCAGAAGATTTGAACATATGTCTGGCTCCAAAGCCCTTAGGTTAGGGCCCCTGATCTCTCCTAGGCAAGCAGAGCGTCTCCTTGCCATTACTCCCCCATTCTTGACCCCTCCTAGAGGAGGTGAGATGCCTGATTCCTGAGGGGCCTGGGAGATTGCCAATAGTGAATTCAGGGGCCCCTCCCTCTGGAAACCAGTAGTCTCTCTGAGAGGCCTGGAAGAAAGCTCTTTCCCAGCATGGCGCGGAGGGGGTCTGAGCGTGGGTCAGGTAAAGGATGGACATCTGCCTGACACTACATACCTGAAGTGAAGGTCTTGTTGCACCAGAAGATATTCCGAATGTCATCCAGCTTCTTCCACGAGCCCTTGCGATCCAGCAGCCCTCGGATCTTCATGCCTAAGGATCTGTGGAGAGGGGAGCACAGGGTGGGGCATGGGGGCTGCCAGGGGCATTGTTGCCCCAGCCTAGAGGCATGGAATGATGTTATAGGTCAGTGGCCAGAGTAGAGGTGCCAACAATTCACATGGGGAAAAGTCCAGTAGGCTGTAGAGACAGTGTAGACTGCACGTGTAAGCAAAGTGAGGCATCCAGCTGTGTGATGCAGACAAGTCATCTTCATCTGACCTGCTTACTCCAAGCTTCCACCTTTTGCTAGACCTTCGCTGGCAACCCTCTGCCTATGGGACCAACTGCCAGCTGCTAAGATGGCTAGAAGCCTCCCCTTCCCCAGCTGGTTTTGCCAGCATTTCCAGCTTTCTTTCCCATGCTGAGGACTAGACAGGACCACCTCTGCCCTCTCATCACCATTACAAATATACTTTGCACACTGGACTAGTAAAAGCAGGCTGTGCACTTTTCACTTAGTGGATGTCTAAACTATTTGGATTTTCTATAATAAGCATTTTTATTTATGATCAGAAAAAAACGTTTGAAATGAAATCAGTTTTACCCCCTGTGCATGGCTCTGTTCAGGCTGTGCTTCTCCTAGAAAGCCATCTCCTGCCTCTCCATCTACCATTAAACCCATTTGTTCTGTGTACAACTGAGATGATGTGTGAGTGGAGTCACATGGCCTGATCATGACCAAAGCACATGCCTTTTGTGTCTCTTTCACAAAATGTGCATTACTCCCTGTATTACATTATAATTTCAGTGTACTCATATCACCTCCCAGTATACCACAGGTTCTCTAGGTGGGGCCAGGACTGGGCTCTGCATAGCCCGACATACCCAGTTCGTAATAATTACTCACTAGTTGGGCTAAGTCAAATGGGAGGGATGGAACATACAAGAGGTAGGTTTGGTTCCTCCCTGGTGGAGCAAGGGGTTAAGACACAACCTACGAAGCTGTCTGCAGCCTCTGCAGCATGAGTTCGATCCCTGGCCAGGGAGATACCCACATGGAGCAGCAGACCTCTCCCGACTCTTCCGCTGCTCCCCTCAGCAGTGTGTTTCAGTCAATCAGCCTGTTCTGTTCCCCACTTTGTCTCTGGTGAATCCTCTCACCCCCCACACCTCTGGCTTGTACCCCAGTTCTTCTATGCATAAATAAATAAATCTTTTTAAAAAATACAAGAGGTATATTCATGGCAATTTGTCAATAAGACAGGCTGTGTAAGGGAGCCAATGTATCATGAAGAACATGAGCACCTGGAGAAGGTAGGGAGACAAGGGGACATTAATGACCTAACAAGCCCAACCTCCTGTGTGTTCACCCAAGCCACTTCCTCTTCATTCTACAGCACTTGCTGAATTCCAGCCCAGTCAAGAGCTGGGGGATGTGAAATACTGGGAGTTGGGGGGTAAATGGGAGGGGCTCAGTCATTAAAGCAGAGGCTAAGGTAGCAGTAAAGGAGAAAGAAAAGGTCTTTCTTCTCCAAGTCCTGCCACAAACATCCTTCAGAACACCCTACAGTTGCTCCTCATCAAAACCCAGCACTACCCCCTCCTCTCCATAAGTGCCTAGATGAGCACCTTTTCCCACTGCCCCTCCCTGAGTCCCACATCAGCTGTCCCAGTGGTCTCCTAGGCCATCCCCTTCCTGGACTCACATACCAACCCCAGGACAAGCTCAGCTAACCCCTCTGGCCCCTGGCTCTTCCTGGGCCTCTTCTTGAGTGGGTGCTGGGCCTGAAGCCCAAGCACCTCTAGTTACCTGTGGGCTCCAGTTCACTGTGAATACTCCTGAGCTCCAACCTGCCCCACCCATGTGCCTACCCCCCACCCCTTCTCCTAAAGAATCATTCTGGCACACAAGCCCAGCAGATGAGGCTCTAGTACCTGCCTTTGCCTCCTCTGGGCTTCCTAATGAGCATGCACAGAGCAGGTAACAGCTGAGCCTTGCACTCCTCCTTCCAAATCCACCCGACTTCCCTCACAAAATGAGAGGACCCACCCTCCTCTCACTGCTCTTCTGGCCCGAAGACATTCTCCCTGCTTGAATCCTGCAGCTTCCCAAGACCACCTCCTGCCCCCTTTGACCTCTGCCTCCTCAAGGCATCAGAGAATTGACTGGACCCCTCCAGCCATGGCACACTCAGTCTCAGCTGTTGACTTGAGCTGCTAATGGCACCTCCATGCTAATTAACTGCCCAACACTTCTCCGGAGAGAACTGTGAGTTCTCATGGCTGAAAATTAGATCATACTACACTCAGTAATTTCTATTGAGATTATTTTCTGCTGGGTGTGCTCCTATCTCATTTAATTCTCCTCTAAATCTCTGAGGTTGATATGAATATGGTCATTTTACAAATGAGGAATCTGCTTAGAAGCTGAGTGAAAATCAAGGCTACACTGCTAGGAAGTAGTGGTTCTGGGATTTGAACCTGAGGAGTTCAAACTTGACCACCTTCTTAAAATTTGAGGGCCAGGCCTCACTGTCCTACTCAGCATGGTCCCACCAGCAGAATGGGGCCTGCTTTGCAGAGTAGGTGCTCAGTTCTTTTTATTGACCTGAGGAATGAAAAGAGAAGGTATGCTGAGGAGCAAAGAGGAGGTGGTGGGGAGATAGATAAAAATGGGGGAGCCTGAGAGGAGAGAGAAGGTGCTGGGGACAGAGAGGGGAGATAAAGGGACAGAGAGGGAAGGCTGCAGGCAGGAAAGGGAGAGAGTGAGAGGTAGAAAGTGGGGGTGGGTGGAGACAGTGGGCAGAGAGTAGGGAGAATGATGGGCAGAAATGAGCATCACAGGGACAGGGTAGAAGGGACAGGAGCACAGAGGGCAGTGTCCTCACGCAGGGATGGCATTGAAGAGCAGAGAGGTCGTCTTGGTGGCCGAGTAGCGAATATTGGGCTCCATGTGCAGCAGGGACGGGATGTCAATTTTCATGGGGAAGCCAGGCAGGTGCCGATTCCCACTGCTAGAGTGGGGTGGGGGAGGGGGAGAACAGAAGGACAGAAACCAGTGAAAGGGGCCTTCAGCCCACTCTCCTAATCCTTTCCTCTCTCCTCCCCCAGAATCCCCAGGCCTCCCCAACTCCTGTTTCCTCCCTGGCATCTGTCTACACGGCCTAAAACCACCTCCCCCTCTCTGCCAGACTCCTGGGGCCACCCCTGCCCATTTTACAGCTGAAATTTGAGTAAAACTGCTTTTGTCATAGACCCAGACTTCCAGATTGCTTGGACCCCAACTTCCCAAGAGATCCTTCACTCCACGCCCCTCCCTACACCTTCATCCCAAGTCCTGGTCCCCTACCTTTCACCCTGGTCTGCACAGGATGTCATCTTGGTCAAGGCAAATTTCTTGTCTGACTCCATTTCCTCAAAGCTGCTGACGTCCACCATGCGGGGGAAGCCAGGGGCATAGATCTTCCAGCTTCCAGGAGAAAGGAAAGGGTAAGAGGTAAAGAATCAAACACTGGGGAAACAGAAGCCTTAGCTCTTGATGGTGTGTGAGGAAGACATGAATGTCCCACTGGTTAAGAGTTGGGTTTGTGCTGAGATTAAGATCATGGCCAGTTTAAGGGTAAAGTGAGGATGGGCTGAGATTGGTCAATACCAGGATCATTTCTGATATCTTGGTCACAAGAATGATAATTGTGGGGAGGAGTTAAATGGGGATCCCTTGATAGTATTGGGATACTTGTTGGAATTGACATTCTGGGTCGTGACTCAGGGTCAGTATTAGATTGTGGTTAGGTTTAAATGAGGGTCCAAATAGGAGTTGGGCCCTCAAGGTTGGAACTGAGGTCAGAGCAACAATCTGATTCAGGTGGATGTCACGATAAAGATGGGGGAAGAGATCGAATTATGCCATCCCTACCGGTAGCAATCCTGCCGGGCCTGGAGCTCCCGTTTCCTGTGATCCAGAAGGAGTGGAAGGGAGTCTTGACAAATAGTTCTTGCTACGGGGGATAAAAATTACTCTTATATAAGTCTCTTTTCAAACATCTCCTTCAGCAAGCTTTGCATGAACCCCCTGCTCCTTGAACCCAGTCCCTCAGCGATGTGAATGTCCAATGGTCTTTGTGCATTCATCAGTAGGAGGGATTCTAGACAACCTCACCTCGAAGTCATATCAATCTTCCTAAATGTTTGCATGTGTATCTCATTTCCAAGACTGTAAACTCCCTGGAGGCAGAAGTCACACTGTATTCATTTTTTGTATTCCCAGCATCTAGCCGGGTGCCTGTCACCATGCACAGAACATGCATTCGATAAAGGACTGGTGGACAATGGACAAATGCATTTTGTGAAGTGATGAATGGATGTGGTGTGATGATAGATGGGAGTTCAGATGAGGTCCCTGAAGAACTCACTATGGGCCCAGGGGTAATGTTCACTTGCTTCACCTTGACCTAGTATGACCATCTCTCATCCTTAAGATTCAACTCAACACTCAGAACAGCCCTCGTCTTTCATCTCTAGATCAGACAGTTCAGAAGAAATGGGGATCCAGAAGCTGAAGGAGTTCAAGCTTCCCAAATTCAAGAAAGAATCCAAACAGCACCTCATAGGGACTTCATCCATACCAGAAAAGCCAGTAGTAGTGGAAACAATCACTCTAGCTAAATTTTGCAAACAGTGATAGCTCCTCCACCTGTTGAAATCCAATTACTCAGTTTGCAGTTTGCTTCCTCTCTGGGCTCCAGAGGAGTTCAATCTGGGAAAATGTAGAAGGAGCTCTGTGTGTATTTGTGTCTACGAGAACACATGAGTGTTCTAGTATCTGTGTGTGTTCAGTGGGGAAAATACTGCCCAGAAGTTTCCTGCAAGTCAGAGCTTTAGAGGCTCCCTTTTTTTTTTTTAAATATTTATTTATTTATACAAGCACTTGGTACAGTCAGAAGCACGGGAGGGTGAGAGAATTCACCAGAGCCAGAGCAGGAAACAGAACAGGCAGACTGACGAAATACACTGCTGAGGGGAGCAGCGGGCGCTACGGGAGAGGTCTGCCCATCATGTGGGACCGTCGCCAGCGGCCGGGGATCGAACCAGCGGCCGGGGATCGAACCAGCGGCCGGGGATCGAACCAGCGGCCGGGGATCGAACCAGCGGCCGGGGATCGAACCAGCGGCCGGGGATCGAACCAGCGGCCGGGGATCGAACCAGCGCTGCAGAGGCTGTAGGCAGCTTCACAGCCCAGTGCTCAACCGCTGCGCCACCAGGGGAGGTCCCTAGAGGCTCCCTTTTTGCAGAGAGCATCTAGTTAGGAGTCCTGAGTTCAGTTACTCTAACCCCAACCCTATTCCTTATATCCTGGACTCTGGGAAACCCACCCCTAATCCCAAAAGATGTTAGGACTGGCTCCTGCCTCTGGCCCACCTGTTCCTGGTCGCAGTTCTATGGTGCAGAAGCCCTCAATCCACTGATAGCAGGGAAAATGGTAACGGGTACCATCAGGGGCAGTGACACAGATGTAGCTGCAGTACCAGGAATCCTTGCGGAAGAAAGCATAGCGTTCCTTGTGCAGACGCAGCAGCAAGAGCTCACCCAGATCCTCTGAACAGCGCACCTTGTACTTCTGCACCTGAGAAAACCAAGAGAACAAGCCCATGAGAGGCAAGGAACTGCCAGGGCCATCTTTCACCCATTCTGGCATAAAAACCTGAGCTATCCCTATTCCCCAAGCAATGCTATGCTTTTGTGTGAATTAGAGGGCACTTCATTCAGGCAGAAGCAGCCAAGGCTACCCCACAGTCTCGGAGTGTGAATAGAATGGGGTTCTGGCTTTCATTTGCCTCCTTGGCACCCAGCCCCCTTATGCAGGCCACCAGCAAACAATCCTGGAGCCTGCAGAGACAGGCAGATCTCCAGAGATCAGGAAATCTAAGATCAGAAAGGACAAGCGACTTGTCCAAAGCCTATCTTCAATTATGGAGCTAGGAAACTAGTAGAATTCTCCTGACTCCCTGCCCAGCAGTCCTTCTTCACAGCCCTGCCTGGGTAGGGCATCTCTAGGAAACACGGACCAGCATAGGAGATGGTGAGGAGGTTGGGATCACCATTCTGAGTTCTGCAGGATTTGACAAGTCCTGAAGTAATCACCCTCTCCTCCTACCTAATCTTCTGCCCCTCAGGGATCTCTTCCCCCTCTCTCCTCTGTACTCACCGATCCAGTGGCGAAGTCCCTGCCCAAGCGATCCAGCAGCTGCTTTGGGCTCTCCCCACATGTGCCCACCAGTGTGACAGAGATATTGTCCATTGTGCCTGCCCTCAGATAGGGACCAGTGGTCACACACACGCGGTAGACTGCCATGATGTAAAGGAAGGACAGATGCCCTCGGCAACGTTGGCCACAGCAGTAGCCCGCCTGGGGGGGGAGGGGGGCTGCCTGAGGAAAACCCCAGCTTCTGTGGGATGTTCTTGGAATCAATCTCTCTCTCTCTCTCCCCTCCCTCCCTCTCTCTCTCTCTCTCTCTCTCTCTCTCTCTCTCTCTCTCTCTCTCTCTCTCTCTCTCTCTCTCTCTCTCTCCCCCCTCCCTCCCTCTCTCTGTCTCTCTCTCTCTCTCTCTTCCCCCTCCCTCCCTCTCTCCCTCTCTCTCCTAGAAGCTCCCAGCCTCTGTCCTCGCTCACTTTGGCCTCCCTGTCCCCGCCCACAATTGTGTGCCCTAATAGTTGTTTGCTTCCCTCTGGCACAGCCGGTCCCTCTGGCTGGCAGGACAGGGCTCACCCAGATGGATATCAGGAGCCGAGGCCGCGTTGGGAAGGGAGGGACCAGATGCTGAGGTGCAGACAAGAAGTTGGTGATGCCTGTATGATTGGGACGCTGCCCTCCTCCTGGTCAGGGGTCCACTGTTTCATTTGAACCCTGTTCTCCACCCAAACTTCCCCCAAGACCCTTTTTTCCCTCCTCTCAGTGAGAACTCGGTACAGGGTATCGCATTCCTGCTTGTGAGTCATTCATGTGAAATCACAACTCACAGGTGAGCCACGCTTAGTCACAAATCACACGTGAGTACTCACGCAGGCGAGTCGCACGCGCATCCACACACACCGCAGCGGGTGGGAAACAAGTCTGCTCACCGCCCACCACACACCGCACCGCCATCCCCACCCGGCCCTCGGGGACCCCGGCCTCGGACACACCCCCTCTCAGCCTCTCCTTTGTAACAGGGCGGTCCGGGACCAAAGTGTACTCCAAGCTGCTGCGTCCGGAGGCCCCAAGTGGCATTCTTTACGCTCCGGGCCCGCCCTGGGCCTTTGGGCGGGAACGGGAGTGTCCCGAGTGCCTGGGATCTCAATCACCGGGACCGGGGAGCAACCTCTCCTGGAGGGAAGCCCGCAGCCCGCAGCGGCCCCACGCGACCATCGCCGGCACCGCACCGTCGCAACAGCCGCGGCGCTGAAGCCCTGGCCGGCCGGCCTCCGCGGGCTCTACCCCAGGGAGGAGGGGAGAGCGCTCTCAGCTGCTGCCGCTTCCTACCTGGGCTGCGCGGGAGTCTGCTGCGCACAGGCCTGCAACGCCTTCGGTCAGGGCTGGCGTCAGCCGAAAACTCCTATAGCTAGAAGGCTGCCTCGCGAGGCAGGGCCCGGATAGCTCAGTCGGTAGAGCATCAGACTTTTAATCTGAGGGTCCAGGGTTCAAGTCCCTGTTCGGGCGACCGCAATTTTGCCTACCGAGTGACTCTTTTAGTACAACTGTTAGCATAAATATTCTTCAGAACAAAGCAAAGGACAAAGGATGAAAGAAATTCTGAAGCTCAATTCCAGAAGAAATTATTGTTAAGTGCTTCAGGAACGTAGCTTCCACATAGTAGAACAAATAGAGGTGGAAGTAGAGGTATTTTAGAGCAGTGCACATGGGAGCCACGTATGGGGATTTAAACTTTTAGTTGCCACCTTAGAAAACAGTAAAAAAGAAAAAGGAGGCATTCGTTTTAATAGCATTTTATTTAACCCAATAAATCCAGTCTTAACATGCTATCAACATTTTTAAATTAATGACTTTTTAACCATCCTTTTTTTGTACTGTCTTCTAAGTACCGTGTGTATTTTACACTTAAGGAACATTTCAATTCGTATGTCATGCGCGCGATAGAAGCGTTACCCTATCCGACGAAAGTTTTTATTTTATCTTCTGCGAATGAGACTAGGAAATTTAGAATTACATACACTTTTAGGAAACACATTTAAGAAAGTGGGTTCCATGGTGTAATGGTTAGCACTCTGGACTCTGAATCCAGCGATCCGAGTTCAAATCTCGGTGGAACCTTTATGCTTTTTCAATTTCTATTCGTCACCAATATATACTATCGTATTACCGACTAATTCCATATAAAAAATTCTCTCACGATCCAGTTCACCTGGAATGAAAGACAGCTAGGATCCTGCTCTTTCATCTTTTCAGACTGGGTAATTGAAAACTATCGCAATTAGGAGCACATACAGTTAAATCACTTAAATAGATTATAAACTGCCATATTATATTCTGAGATGAAACTGCCATTTAAGGACATGTTAAAGAGATTGGTGATGAAGTTACTTGGACAATCTTAACAGATACGACTGCAGACCTCCATAGTCTGGAATACCAGAGAGGGAAGACGGGGGCGCAACGGCTCCCAGCAGTCCTCGTAAAATTTAGGAATATCACAGAGGGAAGTTCAAATTACTGTCAGAAGGCGCAGGGGTGACGAGAAAAACTCAGGTTTGGCAGCGGTGGGATTCGAACCCACGCCTCCGGAGAGACTGGAGCCTAAATCCAGCGCCTTAGACCGCTCGGCCACGCTACCTGCGTGAGGAAAATCCTTCTCCGCAGTCCTCCTAAGAGTCTAGAAGGAGGACACGCGCTAGAAAGCGTTATACCAAATTATTTGGTCTCCTGTAAGAAACATCGAGATTCTGGTTCACGGAGCGCCAGGTGGCGAAGCAGAAAGACCGCAAGAAGCATACACACAGACACACACACAGATTTACAACAAAACAATTTATTTTGATGGGTGGAGCCACATCTGGGAGTGGGGTGCGCCTGGGCTGGAGGCATCCCCCAAGCGGGGAGCCGGAGCTCTGTACTCGCTCGTTCGCTCGCTAATATTCGGTGGCTCCTCTCCCTGTTTCTTCCACCCATGGGCTCCCGCACTCCTACGTGGTTCATATACTTTGAGGCCTCTACCTTCCCCAGCGCAGACCTTGACTCCCAGCCACGCGCTGCTTGCATACCCCGCCCCGTTCTCCCCCCTGTCCCCGCCCACCCGGCCCCTTGCTAGTACCCGTAAGCAGTGAGAAGCCGCCGCCCGCCAGGTGGCTCTGTGGCGCAATGGATAGCGCATTGGACTTCTAGTGACGAAAAAGCGATTCAAAGGTTGTGGGTTCGAATCCCACCAGAGTCGGTTTTATTTCAATTTTTTTCTTCCCTTTCCCTCTCTCCGACTTTTTCTTAAAATCTCCCACCCCTTCTCCCCCTACCCTATCTCAGAGTTTTCCACCTGGTTTCAGTTCCAAACTCAGTCTCCGCTCCGCTCTCTACTTACCTGTTTGCCCCGGAACTCGGGCCGTGGAGCGCAGGGCGCGGGCGGGAGACGGGAGGGGCGGGAGAGTGGGCGTGGACGCCGAGATAAAGGCAGGCGCCGGGCTCGGGGACGCACGGGGATTTGATAACCACTTTATTCCATGCACTAGGGACTCGGGAGGGGACTGAGACTGGGCTGGGGGCAGAGAGGGTACAATCCTAGACGCAGGGCGGGCAGGGAAGGGGACAGGAACCAGGGAAATATATATTTATATAGATACTCTAATATAGACCACATCTCACCCGCGCGCTGCGCCCGCGCGCCCCGCCGCCCCCCAACACCTTCTAGCCCCGATGCCCGGGTCCCTCTGCCGCCCTCGGGCTGGAGTCTCTACCCCAACCCCGCACCCCGCCCCCACACCCCCCCAAGCTCAGGGCCAAGGTCTCCAGAAAGCGGGCGGCGGAGGCGGCGGGGCCTTGGGCGCCCCGTCTTGTCTGTGAGGCGGCGGCGGCGGCGGGAGCAGTCCGGTGAGGGGCGCCGGGGCGCCGGGATCCCCGGCGCTGGGGGAGCAAGGGGACGGGGACCACGCGCAGCGCGGGCTAGGGGGGCCCTGGTGCACTGGGGGGCGCTGGTGCAGCGCGGGGCCGGGCGCTGGGGCGGCGGGGTCCAGCGGTGGGCGCGGCGCCTGGGGCCTCGGATCTCCGGGTTCGGGCCGCGGCGGCTTGGGGCGCAGGTAGCCGTGCAGCGCGGAGAGGAGCTGGGCGCGGGCGGCCGGGCTGGCGTCGTGCGCGAAGGCCGCCAGGCGAAGCAGGCATTCGCGGAAGCCGGACAAGTAGCAGCTGGCGAGCGCCTCGGCGTCATGGGCCGGGGACCGGGGGACCCCTGGAGCCGCGGCCGGCGGGAGGGCAGGCGGACAGGGCGAGCAAGGGCCCAGCGCGGGTGAGGGAAGGGGCGGGGCGCGGAGAGACCGAGGCCGGACCGGCGCACAGAGACAGGCAGCCAGATGGACCGACAGAGGGAGAAAATGAGGGAGACACAGAGACAGACACGCGCGGGTGTTATTAACCTCGCCTCGGAGCGGTGCCTGCCACTCCCCAAGCCCACCGTCCACCTCAGGGGGCTCCCCACCTGCCCGGTCCCAGCCTCCTGGCACCCCCCCGGCCTCCCTCCGCTGCCCCACCCCCGCGCTGTACCCGGGGGCTCCACCCGGCTGCGCTCCCTCAAGTAGCCCACGGCGAACTCCAGTATCTCTGCTTTCTCCAGCTTCGGGTTCCGGAGGTTCTACAGACGGGAGGGGAGGGCGCAGAGACAGAAAGGGGTGGGGAGAGAGGGGGGAAGTGGCAGGGGGAAGAAGGGAGGGGGAATGCGGGAGCTGGGGGTGCCCCCGATCGCGTTTGCGCGCTGCTCGCAGAGCGCGCGGCCGTGCGCGGAGTGGAGACGACCCAGAGTGGTCCTGGCCCAAGCTGAGGCTAAGCCGTTCACCCCACACTGCGAGGAGGGGATTCGACACGGCAAACCCAGGGAATGAAATTAACCGCCCGTGGGGCTGAGAGGAGAGGAGGGGTGTGGGGGGAAGGGAGGGAAAACTTACAGACCCAAAGGTAGAAACTGACTGACCCTGGGAGTGAAATTTACAGCACCGGGTGTGAGACTTACAGACCCGAGGGGTGGCGCAGAGGATGGCGTTCTGAGAGCAAGAGGGGGTCTGTTACGGGAGTCCAAGGGCGGGGCTCGGGTCAGGAGGCCGTGGGGCCGGGGTCACCGAGGCAGCGTTAAGTCCCCACCCCAGTAAGGAAGCCCGAGGACTTGAGGACCGTGTGCTTGCGGGTCCCGGGCTGGCGGAAGGACTGACCTGGTCCCGGGTCCGCTCCAGCAGCAGCAGCCTCAGCTCTTCCAGGCTGCGGTTGATGCGGTCCCGGCGCCGCTTCTCCACAAGCGGCTTCAGCATCTGCGGCCAGCAGCAAAGGGAGAGCGGGCCGACCCGACCGAGACTCAGCGCGGCGGCGCGGGCGCCCGAACCCCGCCTCTGGGACAGCCCCGTCTCCACCCCTTCCCCAGACCCCGGAGAGCCTAGGGCCCGACCCCTTCGATCCCTCTCCGCGCCCCCTCCCAACGCCCCTAGAGTCAGCTTCTGAGGCTCGCCTCCTCTCTCTCCCGGGTCTTCTTGCATTGTCTCTCTCAGTCTTGTCCTCCCTCCTCCCCTCTCTGTGTCTCTCCTCTTTTGCTCTCTACGTCTCCGTCTCGTGCAGTCTGTCTCTGCCTCAGTGGAGAACTTTGAGAACCCTCTTTGCGCCCAAGCACGTGGGCCGAACGGTGCCGGGCTCAGAGTTGGCGGCCCTGAGTACAGAAAGGGAAATACCCTGCGCGAGCGCGCCTTGTCTTCTGGCTCTACTCAGTCCAAGCGCCCACCCTTTCCCGCTGCTCCTGAAAACTCCCGCCGGGCTCCGGCCTACGCAACCCGTGCCCTCGGGGGCTGCTCCGCGGCTCCGCACTGGCCAGCCCAGGGGAGCTGAGCGCCTGTCCTCTCCGCTCTGGGTGTCCACCCTCCACCCTTAGCTCTGTGCTCCTTTTGCTTATTTTATTATTTACTTATTTTATTCAAACTCACGACCCCTCCCACTTCCCCCAGACCGCAAGGTGACAAATCCCATTACCCCGGCCCCAGCATTCCCTGTCTGCCGCCCGCTCGGGTCCTGCTCCGACCCTGTTCCCTTCTTGATACTTTGCAGCTTACTTCCCAGCTCCTGGTTCCTCGGGTCCCCCGGGCACCTCTCCCCCTTCCAGGTCAGCCTCTCCAGCCTCTTCCCTGACCCAGGGTCTCAGGGCCGCGGCCCCCTGACTGGCCCAGGGACCTCTCCTCCCTCCCCTCCCACCTCTCACCTTGGGGCCGTCCCTATTCTCGGCTCGATCCCGGGTGACCATCGCTCCTCCGTGGTATGGACCGAGCCCCTGCTCCCTCGCGCCTTATATCCCGCGGTCTCCGGGTAGGGGGACAGGACCCGGGTCCCGCCCCTTCAGCACCAGGATCCCGCCCCGCGCGGCCCTGGGCACGAGGCTCCCGGAAAGGGGAGGGGTACGGGGGGGGGGGAGGAGAAGGAGTGGAACGGGCCCGGGAGTGTGGGAAATGAGGGGTGAATGCTGCTTTCGGCTGGTTTAAGTACCATGAGGTTGTAAAACGAGGCGGGACCCAAGTGAAGGGAGGCGGTTATTAGGCGGAGAAGGATTTCCAGGGATTTACAGACAGAAATTCTCAGGATTGACGTTCTGAGTTCCCCCAGACCGTTCTCTCCAAGCTCACTTTTTCTCCCAGAACTTGAAATAAAATTAGCACTCCTTGGTCCCTAGGCAGAATCTTAGACATTAAAATAAATAAATAAATAAAGCGCCTCCTACTTAGGATAGGGGGCGACCTGAGTGTTCTGGGAGGATGCGTCTCAGTCATCTGGGGTCGGCTTGCACGTAGAGGGACAGTTTTGTTCTGAGTCAATTGCATTAAATTCCTCCAACATCTGGGGCACTGGTTGTGCGCGCTGGGCACTGGCCAGCGCTTGGATAGTTCATACTGAGACTCACTCTAGCGACCCCAGCTTATGCCCGCAGGATCTAGTGGGAAAGACGGTGCGTTATCAGGTAGCTACTGTGGAATCAGATTGGGAGCCACTCTGAGATAGGGTTGGATTGGGGCTGGGGCGGGGGGAGCTCAAAGGGAGAGCAAGGTTTTCAAGCATGGTTAAGAAGTGGAGAGATCTTTCCACTTGGAGCTATTAGATTCAAAACTAATTATAGGAGATTCGGGCTTATGACTGCCAGGACACCTGAAACAAGTGTGCCACCTTTGCTTGTTCCTGGGGACCCCTCGTGAGTGTAGGGGAGCAGGAAATAAGCAGTTGTGTTAAAGGGGCAAGAAAAGGATACAGAAAGCAACGGGGTTTAACACCCACCTCAAATCGAGAGCATGACCCTCCGCAGAATGATGCGTGAACACTCGGAGACTTCAGCACAAAGTGCCTGGGGAGAGAAAGAGTCATATATTTAACGGGACAGCCAGATGCCAGGGGGAAAAGGGTTGCAAACCTAGTTGGATTATAACTGCGAAGTCAGACAGATGGGGATTGCTCCAAGCCCTCCCAGTCCCCCTCCACGCCTTGTTTTTAAGTTGTTTTGCTTTTTGTTTTTTTCCAAGGAGCCTGCCTTGCCAAACCTTAAGCCCGAAGGGACAGAGACCTTGGGAAGGGCGCTCCCATTTGGGATCAAGGCCCCCGGCACATCCCACCTCCCCCTACCTGGGACAAATGGGAACACAGATGTGTGGCTCCAGTGGTCCCCGCCGCCCCCCTCCTTGGGAACCTGGGCTCGGGTTGAGTTTTTCTCACCTGCACGCGAGGCTCGGGGCCCCGGGATGTTCGCACCCGGGTGTGGGACCGCCCCTGGCCATATGGGGCGACTTTATGGCCTGGTGGCCGGATCCTAGAGGGCGGAAGGATGACCTGGTGCTCCACCCAAGTCAACTACTAGGGGCCACTCCTTCACTGAGCCCGCGGCAAACTCCGTCAGCCTGACCTGACCCCAGCCGCCTCAGCCTCTTCTAGGTAGGTGGAGAAAACGAGAGTCTCGCGTCGCTTGCATTGGTGGTTCAGTGGTAGAATTCTCGCCTGCCACGCGGGAGGCCCGGGTTCGATTCCCGGCCAATGCACGTCCACGCTTTTTCTCCCTTTTCTTTCAAAAAGGAATTTAACAACTTGCCTTAGAAACATCTTGTTTAACTGATCCAACAAACGTTAATATTTAACATTTTTACTCTATCGCAATCTCAGGATTTGGATCGAGACCTGGATTCCGTATGTACTCACCTCATCCTCCTAGCCTGAGGGTCCTGCTGCCCTCCACACCCCACTACAGCTCCCCCTGCGCACCTCCCCCCCCAACCCCCCCCCGCCCACCCTCCCGCACCTCAGCAGGCGTGACCCTGAGAAAGGATACGGCGCTGGGATCCCTACCCCGGGGGTTCTCTTAGCCCTCTGTGGGGGAGCAGAGAGGTCTTCCTCCCTGCACGCTCTAAATATCCTGCTTTTCTTTTCCATTTCTCTCCCTCTCTTCCTTTCTGTCCTCCCCTAAGCGCCCCTTTATGTAAGTTCACGAGGTATTTCTGCGTCTCTGCGTCTGCTTGAGAGTGTCTTTGTGTCTGTCACAGTCTTTCCACAACCCTTAGCCACGACGGCCCGCCTCTTCTCCCTGCATCTCCAGCTCCGGGTGTCTCCAGCCTCTCCGCCTCCCCTGCGTCTGCGTTTGGGTCTCTGGGCGTCTCTGGCCCTCTGGCCTCTCGTTGTGTCTCTGGGTCTCTGGAGCCTCTGCGCTCCCACGCTCCCGCCGCCCTCCCCTGGGAAGCGGGCTCACACCTCCAGCCTCTGCCCCCTGCCGCCCACCCTCTCCCGGTCGCTTTGATCCCGCACGCGTCGGGCCGGCGGGCGGGCGCACCAGCCAGCTGCCGCGCGGCCACTTGTGAGCGGGGGCGGCCCCGGGCTCCCCCACTTGCTGCACGGATTTTCCGCTGTCTTCCGGCGCGCTGTCCTCCCCCGGCGCCCCTCCTCCTGGGCCGCGCTTCCTCCGGGAAGTCTCCCGGGGCTGCCCTGCCTGCAGGTGCTCTGGGTCTTTTTCTCTGGCCCCTGAATTGTGTCAGTGACTGCGCTTTTCTCAACTCTAAGCCGTGACAGTGGCTCCCAGAAGAAGTTGACTGCGACCTGGTCATCTGTGGGTCCTGGGTAGGCAGCCGCTGTTTTTATTCACTCCACCGTTACTTGTGGAGTTCCTCCTGTGCGCCCAGTGTTATTAGGCACTGAGGAAACATTGGGTCTGGCCTCGCCTGAAGCTTACTTTACGTTGCGGGGGAGGAGCTGGAGGGAGGAAAGGTAGAAAATCACAAGGTAAAAAGAAAGTTAAGTACGTTCAGGTGTTTATAAGGCTGTGGGGAAAGAAAACAAGTAGACATGGCAAAGACTTGAGAGAGAAGTGCTTCTCTATTCTGGGTGATCAGAGACAGCCTCTGTGAGGAAGGGATATTTGAGCTGAGCGTAGTAGTCCAAAGGAACAGCAGGTGGAAAGGCCCTGAGGCTGCGAGAGGCTTTGCTGCTGGGAGCTACAGAAAGAGGGTCATGGTCTCTGGTGAATTTGGAGCATGGCAGAGATAAGAAGGTAGGACTCATCACATAGGGCCTCAAAGGCTCGCAAAGGCGTCTGGATAGATTTTTCCTCTATGTGCAATAGGAAGCCAGTTGAGGGTTGTTAATCAGAAAGTCATTTTTCCTGACTCATGTTTTTTTTTTTTTTTAAGATTTATTTATTTATGCATACAAGGACTGGGGTGTAGGCCAGAGGTGGGGGGGGGAGTGAGATTCACCAGAGACAGAGTGGGGAGCAGAACAGGCAGACTGACTGAAATACACTGCTGAGGGGAGCAGCAGGTGAAACAGGAGAGGTCTGCTGTGCCATGTGTGTAGCTCCCTGGCTGGGGATCTAGCTCTCGTTGCAGTGGCTGCTGATAGCTTGATAGCACTGTGTCTTTAACCCCTGCGCCACCAGGGAGGGCCCTGACTTATGTTTTATATTTTAAAAGATCACTTTGGCTTCTATGAGGGAGAACTCAAGCAGGGCAATCATTTGGCTTACTGGAGTAACCTTTTAAGCAGGACATCATGGTGACTTGTACTAAGGTCTTGGCAGTGGATAGTGAAAGTGAATAGGTTATGCCTAGGTTTTTGGTTTAAGTAGAGTAGATAGTAGTGTCTTTTAGTGAGATGGGAAACACCCAGAGAGGAGATGGGAAAAGATTTCGGGAGAGAGGGCAAGCTTAGTTTTAGTCAGCTTAGTTTCCCTTAGATATCCAAGTGTAGCCTACGGGTAGGCCAGAGATATACAACTTTGGGGTTCATAGTTAGAGGGTAAATATGGGGCTATCAGGAAAGAGGTGGTTTTTAATATTATGAGACTGGGGCATGTAGGGAGAGTGTGGACAGGGAACAGAAAGGACTGAGCAAGGAGATTTTGGGGACCCCGACACTTAGAGGTCAGCTTGAGAAGGAAGAATTGGTAAAGGAATCTGGAGTGATCAGAGAAAGTACAGAAAAATCAGGGGAGTGGAGTGTCCTGGACACCAAGAGAAGAGAGCATATGAAGGTAGAAGCAGTAAGCTCTAGCTAAACTGCCAGGAGGTCAAGCAAGGAGAAGAGAGAAAGTAACTATCCAGTTTGGAAGTGACAGATGACCTGAAGGGAGAGTAACTCTCACTTGAAGGACTTGGGGGTCAAAGCAAGGGTATACAAGTGTGCAGACAGCAACCATGGACAAATCAAAACTGTCAAGTTTTGCTGTGAAAGAGATGAGGGTTTCTAGGCCACTTTTAATGCTGATGGGACTAACCAACAAAGGTCTGGGGAGTCTGGTTGTGAGTGAGTGAGTGTATGTATGTGTGTGTGTGTGTGTGTGTGTGTGTGTTAGTAAGGGGGGGCGATATTGAGCATTAGATTCCAGTATTGGATGGCAAAATCAGCTCCAGGTCCTAGGGAATACTCTTCACCCATGAGGAGATGGGGGACCCAGCGTGAGGGTCAGTTGGAGTGAGGGCAGTGTGAGCCTTTATTTTCTGTGGTCATTTCCATTTCCTGGAAGAATTAGTCAAGCTCCTTGCTGGAGGGCAAGGAAAGAAGACTGGAGAGAGCAGAGATGGTTATTAGAGGAGTGCGGAGGTGTGAAATATTCATTTTGGAGAGAAGAAAAACTTTCTAGACCAGTAAAATAGAATTTCTCGGCAGGATAAGACTCTATGTAAGTTTATGTAAATTATGGGATCAAAAATTTCAAGTTCAGAACCTAATTCATCATGGAACTGATGAAGTTTATGCCTCAGGACCCCTCACTTACACAGGCCTCTCGGAGGTC